CTCCATTTCTTCCCCATCTATTTGCCAGGAATTGAGAGGGCCGGATGCCATGATTTTGGTTTTCTTAATGTTGAGTTTCAAGCCAACTTTTGCACTCTCCTTCTTCACCCGCATCAAGAGGCTTTTTAGTTCCTCTTCACTTTCTGCCATTAGAGTGGTATCATCTGCATAGCTTAGGTTGTTGATATTTTTCCTGGCAATCTTAAGTCCAACTTTTGTTTCATCTAGCCCTGCCTTTCTCATGATGTGCTCTGCAGATAGGTTAAATAGGCAGGGCGACAGTATACAGCCTTGCCGGACTCCTTTTCCAATTTTGAACCAATCAGTGGTTCCGTGTCCAATTCTCACTGTTGTTTCTTGACCCGCATATAGGTTTCTCAACAGACAAATGAGATGGTCTGGTACTCCCATCTCTTTAAGAACTTGCCACAATTTGTTGTGATCCACACAATCAAAGACTTTTGCATAGTCAATGAAGCAGAAGTAGATGTTTTTCTGGAACTTTGGAGAATAAGTTGACTCCCTTAAATATTGAAACACTGTTATTGTGTCTTTCCCTTGTCCTTCTTTTCATTAAACTACACATAACCAATTCCTGCAACTGTTCTTCACGTTTTAACCTCCAGTCCCCTAATCAATGTTGTTGCTTCTCTCTGCACTCTTTCTGGAGTCTCAACGTCTTTTTTTATCTATTATGGTGACCAAAACTGGATGCAATATTCCAAGTGTGGTCTTACCAAGACATTATAAAGTGGTACTAACACTTCTCGTGATCCTGATTCAATCCCTCTGTTAATGCAGCTTAGGACTATGATGGCTTTTCTGGCTGCTGAAACATACGGTCGGCATGTAGGTCCTTAGTGACCTATTGACCTTGCATAGTACCAAGCACTCACAGATCCATGTCTGTGGCATCAAGATGTAAGATTTCCTGTAGTCAGTCCAGGCTGTGCTCAAGGTCCACTTGTCTAAAAATTGCTGAGGTTGAGAAACACTGCACTAGATAATCTCTTTATCTAACCCAACTCAGTTCTTATGGCTTAATTTATAAATATATACAAACAGATATCCAAACTTAGTGCCATTTTGAGCTCATTCTGTGTTTTTTTTTTTAGATAAGTTTGAAGAACAGCTTGTTTTGCTAGTCCTTCTTGTGCGGTGCAAAGCACAAAATGCAATAAAGTGCAAATATCTGGGTTTTTGAAAGAAATACATGATTTTCTAAAAATCTTTCTTGTGTTTCTTCTTAAAGGAAGAAGAAAAAAGAAGCACTTGATTGGGCTATTTGTACTGAATAAAATTTTCAGTCATTCATATACTGACATTCAGGGCAGTTTTCATTAAAAAAATAGATTAGGGTAATATCAGAAATTACTGATAATCTATTTATCTTTACTATTAGCTAGTCTATGCCATTTTCTCCTAACAAGCATAAAAGCAACATTTTCAGTAACCAAGTTATGCATTCTTAGGTGGCAAAACTCGGATCTGATGACTAAGAAAATTCCAGGGGGAAAAAGAGCTATACTAATAGCAGCTTCTTTTTTTCCATTGCAATACCTCATTAAAATTGTTCAAGGTGTTCCTTGGGGAATACTATTCCTTACTATACATCAACATTTGAAAATAACATCAACACCTGCTAAGCATTTGAATAAAATAGAAACAAACATAATCTCTTCCCATTTCTCCGAGTAACAAAAACATCTAGGGCACAAAACTGGCCTGGATTTGTGCTGGATTAGAAAAGGTTCAAACTGTACTAACAGTATTTTGTGTTTCTGTATTTAGAAATAGGCTGAATTTGCTTATTGCACCGAGCCATCATTGTGTCTTAAATAAATCACAGTTAGATTCATATTCCCGTGCCCTAATCTACCTTCACTAAGCTAAAACCCAATAAACCCACTGTAGTGCAGCCCAGTACTAAACAATACTCAGTTTTGTGGACATCTTTGCTATTTCTAGTGATCGTGTTTATTTTGCAGTTGCAATCTGATTGCTATAAATAAACCTTATTACATATGCTTTAGCCTGATGTGAAAAAGGAGCCATATATAGAGTGGAAATGGAGATAGCTTAAATACATCCTAAGCAGCCAATATTCACCATCTGCACATTTTCCCAAAACAATGTTTTTTCTGGTGTGAACAGTTTGTTCATGCAACATGATGACTCTGATTTGCTTTTGGCTTTGTTGCATGAAACCTGCCACTATTGTTTACAAACCATGATTTAAGTCATCACATTATATGTGTGTGAAAAGTACACTATGCTTTTTGAATAAACCATGAATTAGCATAATGTACTGGTGAGGTTTCTATCAGGTAATAGTGCACTCTTCTGTGGCCTGGCAGTTCACAGGTGTATTTGGATTTCTATTTTGATAACCCCTTACCCAGCCCACATCGGAAGGAGCATGATAGTAGCGGATAATGGTGCCTGAAGTTCAAAACTTGGAAAATACCAGAAAAGGCCAGGTTCCTTCATAAAATGTCAGAAATGGAGAACGAGCCGTGTATGAGAAAAGATTATTCCTTCCCGTTTGGGTCCCCCTTATCTTAGGAATTGATTGGCTCCCTGAGAGAGGTCTTTAAACCAGGAATCTTGATTACAAGTTGGCAAGGGACGCAACTAAAACCAACTTTTTGCTCCCATTTAACGGTCCTCCGGGACCCGTCATGTCCAAGTCAAGTTTAGCTCCTAAGGATCACATCCATGCAGGGTTCTTTGTTTGTTTATTTTGAAGGCAGTAAATAAGGGGAAAGTCTCGCCCCTCTAGTTTAAATAAAATGCCTTGAAATTTCCTTGCATCAAACGCGAAAGCGCTCTGATCCCGCCCGCTGCCAAGCCAGGCGAGGCAGCGGTGAACCCCTTCGGAGGTGCGGTGGGTCGGAGGAAGACCCAAGGACGACACCCCGCCGCACGCAACCCCGCGGACAAAGCCACCTTCCGCCCCGCCTCCTGCTTCTTGACGGGCGGCAGGACTCCCCTTGGCCGCTAGATGGGGCCCGGCGCGTGGAGGCGGGGAGCCGGGCTGGCGGGTCACGGAGGAGGAAAGAGTTCGCGTCACCAGCTCGCGCAGCTCCCGCTCGTGGGGGGGCAGAGAAGACGCAGCGGCTGCGGAGCGCAGGTACCGTCGGCCGGCCGGCCTGCCCCGCGGAGGGAGGAGCGTTTTGTTCCCGCGGCGTCTGGCTTGGCTCGCAGGGTCCGTGACCGGCGGCTGACAAAGCCCCTCCCACGTTGGGCGGGCCGGGGAGAGACACCTGGGGTGGCTGGCTGTCGGCCTATGCGCCCTTCCCTCCGGAGCAGGGCCCGGGGAGGGATTCGCCGAGGGATCGTGCCTCGCCTGGGTACTCGGGAAGGATTGCGGGAGTCTCTCCCCACCCTTCCGAAGTTTCTGTTGCAGAGATTAAAGCTTGGTTGTTTTAGGGCGCGTGTGTTGCTGGTCAGGTCTTTTGAGAGACGCGCGCAGTCAAAGGGGAAAAACAGCCTGCTTTTTTTTTTTTTTTTTTTTTTTTTACGGTTCCCCTGGAAGCCGAGGCCGGCTCCCCCTCACACAAGAACAGGTTGCCCTCCTCCAGTTCCCTTCGAGGTTTTTGCATTGATGGCCTATGGGTCCGGGATGCCGGGCGTGGGAGTAGAGCGGGAGCCCGACAGGTGCTTCGGTCTTCCTAGGTAGAGATTCTTCGAAATGGGAGGAGAGAAATAGAGGTTGACGCGTTGCGGGGGGGGGGGGAAAGGTTCTTGGGAAGTGCCTGAAACGTCGGAGGTTGGAACTGAAAAGCTTGCTGGGTCAGTGTAAGAAGTCTATGGGAGAAGATGGGTGTTGACTGTGACCTCTTAACTCTTGCTTGCTCTAATAGGCCTTTGTGAATTTGCAAGAGTCCAGTAAGGTTTACATTTTCTCACCCCATTAAAAAGGTTTACGTTTTCCCACCCCACCTTCCTCTCATCATTACATGCCAGTGAAACTGCTTGAATAGAAACAAGGTTTGTATGAGTAGGTGTGTGCAGTCTGAGGTTAAAAAAAATATATCACCTGGTAAACAAGGGTGTGTCCTCCTGTACTTTAAACCAAGGAAAGGCAGTGGAAAGCTTCACCTCGTCTCAGCAGGAATGGTGCCGCTTCTACTATTTTCCACATACAGTGTTTTATCTGTTCTGAGCGGGAATTAGCTAATAGCACAAAGAATCCAAAAGGAAATAGAACAAGGTTTAAGATGGATCTTAGAAGAATTCACGATGTGCACATCTCTTCTGATGTGGCAAATTCAGTTCAGGAGCTGTTGGAGCAAATAATATCGGAACGCGATGCCTTACGTCAAGCCCTAGCATCTCTCACTGCTGGTTTAGCAAAACTTGAGAAACACCTGGAAGAGACAGATCGCCGTGTGGGAGCTCTGGAAGCAAAGGTGGTGTCTACTCAAGGCTGCGTTGTCAAACATGCTACTTTAATGAAGGAGCTGGCAGTAGGAAAGTTGGTGGCTGACTACAAGCTGGAGACACTAGAAAACAAATTGCGAGCTCGGAACTTGAGAGTCACCGGTGTCCCAGCAGCCATTGGAAATGTGAACCTTATCCCCTTCATAGAAAATCTGTTGCCGGCTGCCTTAGATTTAAATGGCAAACAGGTTCCCATCTGTATAGAAAGTGCTTACCGTCTCCCAGCAAATAATGCCCAGGTGGGTAAGGGCAGTACTGTACTAATCACTCTTACTGATTTGCGGCATCGGGAAAGAATACTGAAGACATCCTGGACAACAAATTTCTATGGACACAAGGTATCCTTCTTTCCTGATCTCAGCCCACTGACATATGCCCGACGGAAACATTTTGTGGCTCTCAAGCAACAGTTCCTGAAGGAAGGAGTTCAGGCGTACGTATTGTACCCTGCAAAGTTAAAGGTTCTGTACCAGGAGAAAACATACATCTTCAAAGACATTCAATCTGCAGTTCACCTGCTGGATGAAATCCGAAAAGGTAGTTGGTAAATGGAGAAAAAAATAGTGCAGACTTTGAGGAGAAAGCTTTGCTCCTTTTGGGTATAGTATTGAAAGGATGACTTTAGAAATCTTTGACTGTTATTTTGAAGTAAGGATAATGAATAGTAGCAGATTCAGTGGAATGCATGCAAACCATTCAGACAGTGACATCCTGAGATACTGGGGAAGGGTTATTATTTTAGAAGGCCTTCATCTTCCTCAGCACACATTGCATATGCCTGAATAGGCAAATACCAATATATGTCTCAGGGTCTTTACTGAATGAAATAGAAGTATCTTGGTTCCTTTCGAGTTTGCTTCCTCAGCGATTAAAAGGTTGAGAAGGTATTTTTATACTCATTTGCAAGATTCTGCTATTGATACAGAGGTGAAAAGGGTGCTTCCAACACTTGCAATCAGCTAGAAAATTACATCGTTTACAAGAGAGGGGTTTTTTTCATTGAGTACCCAACTGCTACCATATTTACAAAAGACTTTGAAATACATTATGCTAGCAAGATATTTGTTTGCATGACTGTGTTTTCAAGCACACTGAACTCTTTAGAACATGGGTGTCAAACTCGTCACATGATGTGTTGCGACGTATCACGACTCTTTGCATTGCTGGCAATGGGGTGGGTGCAGCTTTGGTATGATGAAACCGGCCTGTGGGCTGGCAGTTTGACACCCCTGCTTTAGAAGAATATATCCTATAGTGCTTGAAAATAATGGACTGATGTTTCTTCTTCGCATACATACTCAGCAGATGGGCTTTGCCTAAGATAGATTTTATTAAATATTTACCAAGTTTATACGTAATAAAAATAATTAGTTTGCTATGCTATGATTTTAAAAAAATACATTTTCCTTACGACTAATAATCTTTTCAAAGATATATGGCCATTCCTGCAGTGTATTTTTCACCATTTGGTACCCAATTGTTATTATAGGGCTCAGCAGGAGTTGCTTTCAGAGAGAGTAGTATCCATCTTTGTAATGGCAACCTCACTTGTGGGATTTGGCAAATTCATCTTGGGCAAGTGACAAAGTCACAAAGCTGCATATTCAACTTTTGTGTAGATTTAGATCAGTATGTTTAGGAGGTCCGGAAAATAATTCCTTCCCAAGTGTAGTGATGACTGGTTATATTAATAATTAGTCTGATTGCTGTTTACATCTTTCCTGGCTGATTCTAAAAGGGTGGGAGAAGCACTTATGCTATTTTAAATCCACTGCTGTGCATCAAGATGATGACTTCTGAAACATTTGAATACAAAACCCCAATTATTGTGATATCAGCTAAAAAATGGGGTATTTAAATGTTTACCTAAGGCAGTCTCACATATTGGAAACTGAATTATTTTCCTCAAAGGCACACAAATAGTGGTTCCTTTGTAAGCGCTTTGGATATCTATAATATATGCTGGGTGGGGTGTTCTACAGCTTTCCTTCTACTTTTCAAAGTGAAATTTGCTCTCTTAGTAAAAAAGCTTACTATATTTTGTGATGGAAAAATACCATAGACTCCACTATTTATGCACTGAATCTAATTATCTTTTGTGTTTGTTTTACCACATAACCTGGATAAAGGCCTAATTTGACAAGTGGGACGTATCATTAACAAAGATTGAAAGAAAAACGCAGAGGAGCAGCAAAACCTGAAGGTTTAGAAGTAAAAGATGGGCAAAGGTTTGGCAAAACCTGATCTGATGTATAGCAGCAATATGGGGGGACATAGAATGCATTTTAATTCTGTACTGAGTAACTTTAGCAGAATTTTGTTTTAGTAGGAAAACAATAGGAAAGACAGATCTTTTTGAGCTTCACAGTGGGGTCTAACAGTTAAGTAGTTTAGAAAAAGGAAAAGTATAGAAAGTGGGAATCTTCCTTCCTGTGGGTATGGGTAGGTCTTAAATTGTAAATGAGACAAGGGAAGAGGTATAGTTGCTGTCTTATATTTAAGATTTATTTCATATACTTGTACTAAAATTGTTTTCACTGGCATGGCTATGCAGAAAGAAAGTATTGGGAATAAATAGTAGAATGCATTTCTTTTTAATCAGCCAGTTGATAAAAAGATCAACCATTATAGGGAAGGAGACAGTTTCTACAACTACCTTCTGATTATGACTAGGATCCTGCTAATACAAGTTCCGGGCTCTAGAGTTCATTTGTGCAAGGCTAATGGGACTATCCTACCTTCCAAAAGATTTATAGCTTATACTTACTTGCTAAGGAGAAAGGTGGGATTTAATATTGGTAGCTGCTTTTGTCAATTGCCATTGATTACCTGGAAAAAGAACAGGCAGGTGGGAGAGATAAAATGACACAGGAGAGCTTTTAAAAACTATTTTTACCTGACTTTTTCATATGCAAACATATGAATACTCTTTCCTTTGCCTATTTTCCCTACAACAACAACCTTGTGAGGTGAGTTGGACTGAGAGAAAGTGACTAGCCCAAAGTCACCCACCTGGTTTTCCTGTCTAAGATGGAACTAGAAACCATGCTTCCCTGATTTCTAGGCCATGACCTTTACCACTATACCAAACTGGATCTAGTTTATCATTTGTAGTATACCTTCCACTTTCTACAACTTTAAAATGATATACTTAATTCTATAATGTTCTGCACGCAGTTTGATCTTTGTAGTAGCCCTTGGTTTCTGATCAGAATCAGCCAGTAATCTTAATGATTGAGTGTGGATTTTAATCTGGGTTTCTCCAACCATATTCCAACATTCTTAACTTCTTCATCACAGCAACCATGGTGATTGCCTATATTTTTCCAAAGTTGGTTATCTTGGTATTGCTTAAAAAAGAAATTTGAATCTTAAATAGCAATTCAGTATGATACTATTATTGAGCTGTACAAATAGTTTCAGTTCTTAATCCTAAATCACACTATGCAGTGCTACCCACCATCTCCAACTTCAGTGGGTACAACTGAACTTGAAAGATTTGAGCCCTGGTGCAACGATATAAGTTAATATGGCTAACAATAAGCAAGATGAACTTGATGTCTGATTATCCTAATCTCTCAACAATACACTTGATTTCTTGTATCAAATAAAGCCATAGTTATTTCCCTCCCTCCTCAAAAAAAGGCATGATGGTTGAGGAGAAAAGAAAACATGCCTTGTACACAATTCACTTGCTTTCCAACGTTCTTACACACTACAACAGCGATCCTGCAGTTTTATGGTGTGTGCTATTTGTTAACTCCTTGCCTTACCATAGCAAGCTGTCTGATCCTAGTGGATCTTTCTTTTTCTTTCAAATCCTTTCAGAAAAGATGACTATGACTTTGATCCGCAACAGGCTGGTGCTGCTGGTCCTAGGAATCCTTGTCACTTTTGTCCTCTACCTGTTGCTTCCTGCAATCCAGCATGAAAAATTTAGTGCTTCAGTAGACATCCCTAAACCACGGGCCATGGAGGAAGAGGCGAAGGGTACAGGTGCTGGGAATGTCACCATCATGACAGGGACAGTTTTGCACTCTTCTGTTTTCTTCAGAGAAGCCGTGCTGGCACAAAAAGATGTGGCTTCCTCCACTGAAAGGTAAGTTACCTTCCTGATTTTTGAAACTTCAAAGAGTTAAATCTCGTTCACATAATAAATAACACTCAAGCAACCTATCTATTCTAATAGTACACAGAAACAAGCTTGAGTTTGGGCTGCTGGCAGCGATTCTGATTGGTCTAAAGAGTGCCAAAAGTATGATGAATATTGGCTGATTTAGTTTTTAAAAGTGAATCTCTTGAATGGTTGATTTATTTTGCTCTGCTAAGAGTTGCAGTTTTGGTGATACTGTATTTCAGTGACTAGGTGATGAAATATATATTTACTGATCTGTTTTACTTGGCACTTCCTAGATGGATGTCATAGTATTCATTTGATTCATAAGCTGCCCCTATTTGTATGACCGTGCAGCTTTCAAAAAACCTGATTATTATTGCTAACTAAATACTGGATCCACAGAGAGAATACAGTTTATTTCTTCCAGAGTGGAGAGTAATTCAGCATTGGTAATCCATAGCTGAATCGTGCTTGCTGATGCTGGAATTTTCTTTCTACTGTGCATTTGTTGTGCATGTGACTTTCTTGATGATAATATTATAAAATAAGAGACAGGACTACTGCTCAGATATTGCAGGGGGCTTAAATATATTTTTCTCAGCACATTTGCCACAAAGCAATCTCATTTTCTAACTTTATAAAAGCATCACTTTTCATCGCTAAAAAAGTGGCTTTCTCTTAATTAGCAATTATTTGCAATTAGACCTTCATGTGATTTCTCTAAGACTGCCATACACTTCTATTATTGTGTGATTGTGGTAATTAGGTTATTTAAGAATATGTTTTCTGTCAGATAATCTGAGTATTTATTTCCTTCTGTACTAGTACCTATGTATAACCTTTTAAAGATTGGAAAAGAAACATTGCAAAGATTGCCAAATATATCTAATTTCTTTAATAATATAGCATGTTATTTTATGAACTCTTATTCAAGTCTTCAAATTGTTTGAGATTAGTTTTCTTTAATTTGATGGGAATGTATTGAAATAATCATTACCAGATTTATATTCATTATATTGCAAAGTATCTGAAGGCCACCAGGTAATATTGTCATAAACAATAGAATACACATCTATTTTCCCCAGCTGTATTTATTAATTACATTGCTGGTGTATCTCATGGACAAATAACTTTTCCTAACCATACTCCAGGCAAGTATTACTTTGGTGCAAAAAAAACCCCAATTCACTTAATTGTTTCGAAGTGACCTTTTTTTTTCTTTTCCTTTTTGAGATTAGTTTAGGGATTTTGTTTTACTATATGAGGGGTAGGCAACCTTGGCTCTTTTATGACTCGTGGACTTCAACTCTGACTCAAGAATTCTGGGAGTTGAAGTCCATGAGTCATAAAAGAGCCAAAGTTGCCTACCCCTGTAAAATAAAATATTTTGGGACTTAACAGTATTTTTAGTACATTATTCATATCAGAATGGTAAAAAAAAAAAAGATGACATTAGCTGCTAGTTCTTTTTCTTAACAGGCTGGCAGTGATCTTCTTGCATGGCCAGTCCTTCACATCCAAGACATGGGAGACTCTAGGAACACTGGCTTTGCTTGCAGAAAACGGCTATCGCGCTGTAGCTATTGATTTGCCTGGTAAGAGGAAGCAGTGAATTATATTTTTTGGGGGGGGGCAATTTTGGCTTTTCAGTTTTAGCTTCATTTTCCCTTACCGGCTGATATTCAGTAATAAATATACCTTTCTGGGGGTTTAACTCTTGCTTTGGCAACACACTTTGGATGAAGGCAGCGAACCAAAGTAGAGGGATGAGGATTACTCTTTCTGTTTAGTAAATCACTCCCATCTGCATGTTCCATTGGCAGTAATTCCTCTCTCTCTCTCTCTCCCTGGAGTGAATGCCAACAGTTGATCTATTTTCATATCAAGAAGGATGTAGTTTTATTATTTAATAAGGGGGGAAAGTTCTTGGAATCCGTTAACTGGAAGGGAGAGCCAGGTTTGTTTGAGTGCTATGCCTTGTAAAGATTGTGATCAGCAGCCCACTGAAGATTCCATTGCCTGTTTTGCCAGATTTGTTCCCCCTTTCAAATACTATTGTATATTATTGCCTTTGCTGGAGGAAAACGTTTGGTTTGCATTTGTTTAGCATCCCCCCCATCCCAAGTCTTTTTAGCTTCCACTCTAATAGTTTTGAAAAGTCACTAAAAACCTGGCTCTTCTAGATTTTGGGAGTAAGGTGGCTGTTGAGTCCTTGTTGAGCACATGTTGTACAGTGCTTGGAATTTGTGTCTGGCTAGGTATAATGTCTTTGTTTTTTATTCTTTATAATGTAAGCCTCAGAGTCTCTTGGAGTTGGGTGGCCCCTAAATCTAATAAGTAGATTTCTTAATTAATGAATGTATATGCTACCTGTCTCACTGTCCAGAGTCATCTGGATGGCTTGCAGCATAAATATGAAAACATTAAAAGCTTTAAAATTAAAATTAACAGCAATTAAATAGAGGTTAAAACCAAAAGCAAGGGTAGGCTTTTGTCTCTCACTCAGTCAGCCACCTCCAACACTGCGTGCTCCCATCTGAGTCCCAAGCCAACCAGCAGAGCCAGGTTTTAAGGCCATTTCAGAAGGCCAGAAGATTGGAGGAGGATCTCACCTCTGGAGGCAAGATGTTCCAAAGGGCAAGAGTTATAGTTATCACTTTGGAGATGTAGCACAGTGTTTCTCAACCTTGACAATTTTAAGGTATGTGGACTTCAACTCCCAGAATTCCACAGCCAGCATTGCTGGCTGTGGAATTCTGGGAGTTGAAGTCCACATGCCTTAAAATTGTCAAGGTTGAGAAACACTGATTGTAGCAGGACTAGTTTATAAAAGTTCAGTTTGCCTTATCAGTGATTTATATTTTAGCAGGATTTCTAACAGCTGGTGCCGTAGAGTGAGGGAAGTTGCTTAACTAGTCAAAAGAAAGCCATAAGTCATAGTTAGGTTTTAGAGATGGCTGGGATAACTGCATAGCCATGTAGTTTTTCTTTTTGAGAATACTTTGAGCTCTGCACAAACTCAGTGCTGTATTTTATAGCATATTTCCAGTCTCACAGGAGTGAATTGTGTGGTTTAACCATGCTTTAAATAAATAAAACTACTTTGGAAGAACATAAATTTGCCCGAGCTTCTCTTAAGTTGTATTTGACTAGAGGATCAGAAAGAAGAGCCAAATTTTCCCTTGAAAGTTGGAGGAAAATGGTATATAGCTAGTTATGATAGCCTTCCTGAACGTGGTATCTTCCAGATCTGTGGCCTGAGGAATTCTAGGAGCTGTGATTTCACCATATCTGAAGGGAGAGGGAGAGAGAGAAAAAAAAAGATAGTTCCTCTATAACAGTGTTTCTCAACCTTGACAATTTTAAGGCATGTGGACTTCAACTCCCAGAATTCCACAGCCAGCAATGCTGTGGAATTCTGGGAGTTGAAGTCCACATGCCTTAAAATTGTCAAGGTTGAGAAACACTGTTATAGCAATGCTGGCTGTGGAATTCTGGGAGTTGAAGTCCACATGCCTTAAAATTGTCAAGGTTGAGAAACACTGCCCTATAAAGATCAGAGTGACACGAGTTAGTACGTGTGTTGATTTCTAGTTAACACTATTTTAGTCATTCTCGTGGTTTGCTTAAAATTATTACCTGATTCTTCCTATTTTAGTCATTCCAATTTTTGTTTCTGAACAGGCTATGGGAACTCCCCACGTTCAACCTCTGCTGGGACTGCAAAAGGCCGCATTTCCTTTCTGGAGCAAGTCTTCAAGGAGCTGGGCCTTCAGAAGCCCATTTTGATAAGCTCATCTATGAGTGGCCGATATTCCATTCCATTTCTCTTTTCTAGTGGAGAACGGTTGAAGGGCTTTGTGTCTATTGCGCCAGTGGGTACAAAAGATTTTACAGCTCAGCAATATCAACAGGTCGAGGTAAGATATCTATGGATTGGAAAAAATAGTTTTATTTATTTTCATGGAAGACATCTGTCTTCCCAAAGAGGAAAAAAGAAGTCTCTCAGTGAATCTAAGTCAGCGGTTCTCAACCTGTGGGCCGGGACCCCATTTGGGGTCGAATGACCATTTCACGGGAGTCGCCAAACAACGCAAATCGCCATTTTTCCCCCTTTTCCTTAGCTATGCTACTCCCTTTTATTCTATTGGCTTTTGAAAGCCAGCAGAATAGACTCTCTTGAATAGAGTCTAATTCTATTGGCTTTCAAAAGCCAATAGGAATTGTCCAGGCTGTCTCTGCCCTGCTGAGCCCGCCAAAAGTCCCATTCTGCAAACGGTGCTGCAAGTTGTCTGCAGCGAAGGCGAGCTGTCTGGAAGTTTCCATCTCTCCCTGCTGAGCAATTACTAAAAATGTAAGTAAAAGAGGGCCAGGGGTGGGAGGTGGGAGCCCGGCGGGCGCAGGGAGGGTTGCTGGCGTGCGTGGGGCCCGGCGGGTGCCTTACCTCCCTTGGGCTGGGCCAGCTGGTGGCCCAGCCGGTGGTCAGCCTGCGCCGTCTCTGCTGCTTGCCAGCTATGCCTCGGCCGGCGCAGGGGGTGGCACCACACATGCGCGGCACTCCCGGGCAGGGAAAGTCTTCGACTTACGACCAGTTGGGTAGTCCTCGACTTACGACCGGTTGGGGGTCGCGGCATTAAAAAGGTTGAGAACCACTGATCTAAGTGGATCCTCCATTTTAAAGAAACATGATTTCAGAAAAATACATATATTCATTTCAAGTAAATACAATTAATTTCATTTAATATAAACTTTAATTCCATTAAATTACTGTGGTTATTATATTTAACACTTTTTTCCTAACATTCCAAGGAAATAGTCACTCTTAGGTATTAACTTTTGGGGCTCTGTAAATTACAGATGTTTTGCAGCAACATGTGTCTCCCTGGGAATGCAGACACTACAGTCCCTGGTCTAGAGTTTATTAAGAAAAGATGATTTTGGTTTAAATTTTCCTTGCCATTTTACTAAGAAAGTGGAAAAGGGGGATGAATGGAACCTTTCAAGGACACACATCGGGTGTAGAATCTGATGTCTGGCAGATCAGGGCTTTTTATACAAACTCATAGGGGCTCATATGTATGTTGAAATGCAGAAATAGGAAAGAGACAGAACTTGGAGAACGTTGTGTGGACATTGTGTCAATACAGTATAGACCAGTCTTTCTCAAATTTTATAGCTTGAAGAAATCTTTGAAGTAATTTCAGGCCTCAGGAAACTTTTGCATGACCTCTTAGGAAGCCCCACTTAAGAGAGGCTGCTCTAGACCCTTGCTGGGTTTTTACAGTTGTCCTTATGACAGATATAGCAAGTATTTGTTAATGGTCCACGTAGGATTGCAGTACTCCAAATGTCATTTCATCACCAATCGCTACCATTGATTTTTTTTCTCTTCTTGCCATGGCACCTGCCCTTTGGAGCATCAGGCCTCCTGAGATTAGATTGTCCCTGTCGGCCTTTCGTAAGGTCTTGAAAACTTGCCTTTGTGCCTGAGAACAAGCATGGGTTAGAGTTTGTCTCCTGGTTGTATGGATGATACGTTAGACTGTGCCTGAGTGCTATGTGTTTTTATTTTTGTTTTCTATTTCTTATTTTTGTTTATTGTAAGCTGCCTAGAGCAGTGGTGGCGAACCTATGGCACGGGTGCCAGAAGCGGCACTCAGAGCCCTCTCTGTGGGCACGTGCGCCATCACCCCAGTCCTAGGCCTTCAGCTGGGTTTTATAAAACCTTTTCGCTTTAGGCCTCCGCCGCCATGTGCAAAAAAAAAAAAAAAGTTCAATCAGTCAATTTCAACTTCTTGTGGGAAAAAAAAAATCTTGCAAAGTTGGAATTGATTGATTGAACTTTTTAGTCCCACCCAGTCTGCCATTACCATGGCAGCCATGCCCACCCAATTGGCCACGCCCACCCACTGGGCCACACCCTCCCAGCACTCGACTATGCATAAGTGGATTTTGGGTTGCAGTTTGGGCACTCAGTCTCTAAAAGGTTCGCCATCACTGGCCTAGAGCGTAAAAGTAAGATGGTGACTATATGCATGAACAAATAAATAAAATACACATTTCCATAATAATACCCTTTGAAGCTCCTGATGTTCTGTCCCTCGCTGTGAGTAGCCAAGAGTAACTAGTAGAAGGACCATAATTGAAGATTCCACCCTCTAGAATTGATTCCTAGAATACTTGGCCCTCTTTATCTGCTACATTAATGTCAGCCTTGTGAGCTCTGCAGACAAGAAGCACTGCAGAAATACTAGCTCTTCTATTGTAAAGTTACATTAGCAGAGTATTGAAAGTCTGAAAGTACAGTACGTCTCTCCTCCCTTCTTTTGCCAGTCCAGGAAACTAGGGAAGGTGCCTTCTGAGATGTTAGCCACACCCTCATTCCTTCCGTGGACTTAGCTACTACTTTTTCTGATCATTGGATAGTCTGCAGTTCTTCCTCCTATCTCCTAAGATCATTCCCATACAGTAGACCCATCATATCCAGATTCCAATCACTGCCTCAGGTGTTTCCTCTGGAAAGGGTGTGAAGATATGATATGCTGATGTATTTCACAGGGCCTTTTTGCAAGTTGTATGGAAAAGAATGGCAATTGTTTAGCAATGATTGGGAAGTAATGTTGGTATTCATTTGTGGACCATTGCTTATTTATTTATGTTTTAATGTTTCTAGACACCAACATTGATAATTTATGGACAGCGTGATACTGACCTGGGTGTACAGTCTCTGCAAAGTCTTCAGCAGATTCCCAGATCCAGAGTTGTCATGTTGTTGGGAGCTGGCCATGCCTGCTATCTTGATAAGCCTCAGGAGTTCCACAAAGCGCTGCTGAGCTTCCTCAGTGAATTAAAATGACTGTGGTATTTTTTCTTAGTTGCTCTGCTGAATCCCATTTTCCTTTTCCCAGGGAAAAAGTGAAGACTGAATGTCTGTTATGTAATCTGGATGATGTGCATATAAATCTGGTTCTTCATACTTCAAGGGCTATAGAGCTTTTTGACTGTCGATGGAAGAATTTATCTCTACTTGTTTGTGGGGTTACTTCTTTTTCAAGCGCTCAAGGTATAATTGCCAGAATCCTACAAACTGGCAGAAGTATTAGATCGAGGACATACGGAGCAGGGTAGCATTTTCATATGTTTGTGAAGAGACTGAAGAACTTGATCTGCACATCACTATTCAATTTTCATTCCTTTTAAGAACTGATCTCTCCAGAGAAAGGTACAACGTCAACTCCAGTATCTTATTTCAGACCACAGATATTATCTCAAGATTAATTTTTTTCCATTAACCACCACCTACTACTTTTAGTGTGCTTATTTCTGTTTTGAGGGTGTTTTCTTGTACTTTTTATCTTAATTCTACTGTTGTGATTTGGAGGGTCTGCTTTACTTTTTTCAGCAGCAGAAGGAAACCAAATTGACGTGTTTGTCCTTACTGGGAGCAGGTAATATTTGAAATTGCCCAAAAGACATTTGGGAAATTTGAAGAAAAACTTTGGAAAGAAATGACACAATTTTAAGTGTATATTTTCTTGTAACTTTAATGACCACTGTAATGCATTGGTTGCCCAACTGTAACATGTTGACTCTCTGTGAATGAAGTATTTAGTTAGAATGTGTCATCCAGACTCTCACCTGAGCAGGAGAATATGGAAGAAATAAGGAGAATGGGTCAACTTTTCAAAGAAGCATAGTCCACATGTTAGGAGAGGGATGATTTGTCCTACTCATTAGGTCATACGTTATCTAGGATTTTGAGTATTGCAAACGTTTAATAAATTGTTTATACTGGTATTTGGTGTATGTGTGTATATACAAATATACAATACTAGACATCAAACTGTGAAGTCATAGTTGACAGCATAAAAAATTGACTTGTTAAAGCCTTATGGAATAAGCTTCTATGTTGATATATATTTTAAATATAATCTATAATAAGAACTATGCCCATAATTACCTACCTCCCTATAATCTCATTTTGTATTTTCCAAACAATTTTTCAACTTTAATGCACAGACTTCTAGTATGACTTTGAATTTTCACCCAATTACTAATTCCCTCTACATATGTTCAGGTGAGTTTCTTTATATATTCTGTTCCACGCTGAATTATTAGGATATTTCCAACTATTAGATGAATAAGAAAAAGTGATAATTCATTCTCTTCCATGATAAATGAAGCTAAGAACTTCTGTTCTCTTGTGGTTTCAAAACAGAGTTATGAATTTATTAGAAGAGATAACACTTTTGTCTAAACAATTCTGGTATTCAGAAACTTCTAAGCAATGATATTTAAGGAAGTGTGAGGGTTTTGTAGCTTATCTTGAATGATAGTTTTAGAGTGGAACAGAAAGTTTGTATATACGTTTCTTCTAGGTACCTTTTGAAACTAAATGTTAACAGTGAAAATACCTGATATATTCTATTGCTTTTGTAGAAATTAGCTGGCTATATTTTCTCATTTAATGACATATGCTTGCACTTTCATTTTATCCAGACCCATCTTTTATTGGTCTGAATTATAAGTGCTTGTGAGTGAGAGTGCAGTTGAAAGAAGGTACTGTTGTAGGTGACTTGCGTCACATGTTTGGTGTCTCTGCTGCTTAGTTATAGGGTAACAGAGAAAAGAGTGGGCTTATGCTTTAGTTCCCTTTTTCATAGACATGAATTAATATTGGAAAGCAGGTTAACATTTTAAAGCAGCATTCCTTGGCCTGGTGCTCAAATGATGTTCAGCTAATTGGATACTATGGCAGCATCCAGCCCATTGTAAGGCACTGAGTTGGGGAGGCTGACCTACAGTACAATAATACAAAATCCAGAGGGAGGTTAAATTGCACAGTTAGATGCCCAAGATAATTATTGAAAGGCTAGTTAGGTAATAATTATCTGCATACAATGCAGCACATACAAAGTCCAACTTACATTTTGTATGCAATAGAAGTTGTTTTTAGAATAATTTTCCTTTTGGCCCAGATTACTAAACAATTAAGGAGTATATTTATGTATGTGGAATAATAGGGGATCTCTACAGAATGCAAAATTTTATTATTGATATTTTATTGAATACACACATCCACATTCTCTTAGGGTTTACAAAATATTTCAAATAATTTGCTTCAAAAGCTATAGCTGGTTATTGCTCTCTCTCATTAAAAGTACATTTACTAATCTTTTACTTTACTACTGGAAAAGCCATGTTACACACTACTAAATGTGTGGGGTATCTGTTAAGAATGCTAATGCTGGTTGGCCTTGTCGTCTATGTGCATGCTGCATATTAACTACTCTTTGCTGCAAAATCAAAATAAATTGGATCCAAAATATAAATTTAATATAATATGAAGCTTAGTTGTCACAATGATTTGAGAGATGGAAAGCATTGCTCTTGATTCTTCATGTGAAATCCGATAGAAAAGAAGCCTCTCACATAATACAATAAGCGAGAACCACTTGTCTCATTTGAACCTTGCTGCTGAATACCTTGAAACATCTTCTGTGAAATCTTTAGATTTGTATAAAAGCTCCATGTCTATTTTAATTTTTCCTTTTTGCAAGCCCCTGGGAATATGACATATATACCTGCCATTCCTTTCAGTTTCAGGATAAGCAGTGTGATTAAAAGTGCAGAAAGGAAATAAATACTAAGCCAAAATATTTTTTTCGAAAGGTGTGTGATTAGAAATCAGGAAATATAACTAATTATAGTTATAATAATTAGATTGAATTCTAGTTATACCATCATTGTATAGCAAAACCATTTACTGAACCACTTTGGACCATTCTCTGTTTGCGAACCATTCCTACTTCTATCACTTCATACATTGCCTTTTCATCTTCACACATTTCATCTTTTTCTATTTGAGGATATCATCCACTTCTTTCTTTAGTCTCCCTCTGAGTATTTGTCTTTTATTTGATCCTCTCTGTATGATTCAACTACCTTAACATTGTTTCATTTTGGTAACTCACTTTTGTATTCTGCTCACTTCCACTGAATATCTATTCATTCTTGATCTTATCTCTTATTTTACCACATTTAAGTACTGCATTCCCATTTTATATAACTTATTTTTAAGTTTATTATTTATTTTATTTATAAAATTTTAGGCTACCCATTTTATCTCAAAGTAATTTTGGGCAGCTTACCATCATTAAAAGGTTCTCTGTTAATTTCAGAATCAATCTGAATCAGTCTGTCTAATAGAGCGGGCAGATATATATCTCGATAAACAGTCATTTTTGCTTTTTTTGGACAAGCATTAATTCCTTGCAACACTTTTGTTTTTAATTCAATTCATTTAGCCTCCATTCAGAATCTCCCATTACTCTTACATCCTTCATTGTCTCAGTCTCTCATCTTAAATCAATCAATCACACTTTGACATTTATATTAATTCTTTTGGCACACCCAGGTATGAAGATTTCTGCTTAAACCATGTATTTTTAACAAAGAGTGTATGGTATTATCTAAGCAGGTCTCCACATACCTCAATTATTTCTTCTTTATTCTCTTGGCACCTAAATTCTCCCTCCTCTTCTCCAACTGCATTCATTAAAATTTTTTATTTTTATTTCAAAATGCCCCTTCCAGAAGTTCAATAGGTGAGGCTGGGTCAGATTTTTGCCTGTTATGCTAACTCTGACTCCAACCCCAGAGACAATCTGTAAGAAGATATACTGTGACCCACCAACCTGGAGATAGCTGCAGTGTACTGATAAATACTCAGGATATCCCAGAACACGACTAGAGGTAATTGTAAGAATGCATGTAATAAAGTAACTGGAAACTTTAGGGGATTCATGATGATTCAACCAGTATAAAAGTTAATAAAACAAGTGCATTTATGCCTAAAGTATCAATATGTTCTGTATATTTTTCATGACACTGTTTTTGTTGCATTTAAGCTGTTGCTGCTATGTGAGCACTGCAATACTAGGCCTTTTTAGGAGGAAAAAGGGGTACAGGGAGAGGAACCTTCTAGGCCACATATTTGTACAAATTCTTGTTCTTGCCTGACTTTTAATTTTAATGATGACACCCTTGGGAACAAATATGAGTTGCTTATTTTGGAATTGTCACCAAGTTTGGATGTCAGATCCTTTCATCAGTATGCCAGTGAATTATTCTTGAAATTAAATGTAGTTAGTTTTCAAAGGAACAGACTAAAACGCATTGACTATAAAATGTACATCTCTGTTGATACAAAGAAATCACTTCCCAACTTACTTGGTTTTTGCAAAGTTTCCAACAAAATATATTAACTTGTTTCGTTGTTGTTCAGTTAGTTACTTCTTACTCTCTTCAGTTGCTTCTGACTCAATATTTTGTCAGCAGTCAACTTTGGCTTTTCACTTCAAAGGTGTAAATAGAATATTTTGTATCCTTATATTACTTTGTTCATGAATGGTACTTGTTGTAGTCAAAGTCACCTTAAGCAGTTCAGCAACTTTTTCTTAAAACAATATGAAATTACCCTTTAAAATAATGGGCAATTATTTAAAAGGCTCAATTAGACACAGCTAGAATTAGATACTTTTTAAAAAATAAAATAGGCATTTGTTTAGCAAAATGAACAAAAATTAATTAGACCTTGGTAAAAGCATGAAAGCCAGTTTGATTTCTAGTCTGGCACTAGTTATTAGTTCTAGTTCCCCCTTAGACACTGGGTAACCTTGTATCGTTCACTTTCTTTCAGCCCTAGAAAGCAGCCAATGGCAAACCACTTCTGAAATCTTGCCAAGAGAACTTGCAGGGTCTAGTCCAGGTTGTCACCAGAACTCAACACAACGCAACAGAACTCAGAAGCACAACACCCACCCACCCACCCCCAGACATATAGTAACTATAATTATAATCTGAATGGCTCAAATTACAACAAAAAGCACAAAGTAACACTTTTCCTAGTGTGAAGTCATCCATATTAGGGTCCTCATACTTTGACAACAATTTGGAAAAAAGACCTCATGTGGGCAGGTATTCTGTACTTTGTGCTTTTTGTATTGTTACTTTGTGTTTTTTGTTGTAATTTGAGCCATTCAAATACAGAATATCTCTCTGGTATTCTATACGTGCAAAACAAACAAACAGAGATGCTGTTTCTTGAATCAAATAAAGCAGCATATTTTTAATGTGATCATCTTTTTTAAGCTTGTGCTTAAGTCTGATAAAGCATGTTTACATTCATGAACAGCAAGAGAGAGATGCTCATGAGATCAGAAGCACTTCACATGATTTTCAGAATGTGCCAAGCCCTATTCTATGTAATGAAAAATACTGTCATTACTGAATAGTGATCATACAGAATCAAAAATTAGATCTAGTCTTTTCTATAACTGGAACCTTAGAGACCTGTCCAATCTGGAACTTTATGTGGCTGTTAGGAACAATAATCACATTGGCTCTCCCAGCCAATGCTGAAAGATGCTTAGAATTCAGACCCTGTGCTGCTGCAAAAATGCAACATTGAATGAAGACACTGGCCTGTAAGATCTTGAGTGGCAAAGGCAGTAAATAATACCAAAGAGTTTCGGAAGCTGAAAAGGAACATTGGCAGCAAATGTTCCAGCAAAAAGCCTGGTGCCATGTCACTTCATACCACAGGAAGAGTAAAACTATGCAACTTTTATGCAAGATGCATTCAAAACTCACTGAACAACATTATTAAAAAGAATGCTTTCTGTATATAACTGCATTTCTTCTGGAATTGAATCTGTTACTTCTATGCAAACATGAAAAATAGATATGGTTCCTTATTTGGAATTGGGTTACAAAGTGAAGTACTGAGGCCTCTA